AATTTGCAGAGTAAGTGGTTATAAACAGCTATGGTCTGTGCTAAATGGATGGTAGCTGAGCTACCACTAGGTGAGTTGATAGACATTTAGCAGAAAAAGGGGATTTATACGTGATATACATGTTGTATACTTTCTAATGCTTTGATTTTGTTTTAGGAGCAGAGAAAGTACTGGCCCTGGCTGGCTGTATGACATACGCAGAGCTTTGGTATAAATCAGTCCCTGATGATGTAAGAATACATTTCTACCACTGGAAGTCGTAATTTTTGTCTTATTGAAAATCTCCTTAAAAAATACAGTATCTGTTCCTTATAGTCATACTTCTTAAAGAATGTACGATAAAGAACTTTATTCGGTAATAACCAATATTTGCCCCCCAAATCAAACTTTGATGGAGATATATTTATTTAAGTTCTTAAACAGGGGAGTACAATGTATATGCTGACTTCAAAGCACTGAATATTTTCATAAGTAATGACGCCATATGTATGTAATGACGTCACAAACATGACGTAAATTTCAGATTTTTATGGATTTTACAGAAAAATGTACATATTTCATCGATATTTTGAGTAAAAGTCACCGAGCGCATGTGTGTTCAGGATCAATATTTTGATATAATGTGTAGAATGATAATATTAATGAAATATGTCAATATTTTTCCTGAACAAACTTGCGCTCTATAAATTTTAAAGCTAAAATTGTTGAAATTTTGTCCATTTTGTCGTCTTTCTGAAAAAGGATATGAAATCGGACTAGTTTGTGACGTCATAAAAACAAAAATTGTGAATACACTGCCTCGACACTATAATATTTTCTGTTAATGTATATTTCTCATACAATTTATTGAATTTAGCGCATTTCAGGAAGTTTTCAAAATTTGACTTTTGTGGGGGCAAATACATGTAATATACCGCATATAGTTCTTTATACAAATCTGTTTGCTTTAAATTTGTAGAATCCTACCAAAGAAAAAGCAAAGGCAGCATACAAGAAGTTCTTGGGTGCCTACCAGCGTTTGGCAACAGAGCAAATTCTGTTTGTAAACAAAGTGGGAGAGCCTGATTTAGTACAGTTGGCAGGAAACCCTGTCAAACTGATCTCCAAACTGTACGAGCACCACAGCATCACACAGACAGACCCCTCACTGCCTAGACCTGGTAACTATTTGTTATAAGATACTAATACAGTACCACAGCATCACACAGACAGACCCCTTACTGTCTAGACCTGGTAACATATGTTGTAATTATACTCTGCTCCAAGGAGAGAGGGGTATTCTGCTTTGACCTTGTGTGTCTGTCTGTCTAGATGTGTGTCTGTCTGCTACAAATTTTCACACCACAGTTTTTTCTCAGCAATTACTCATCACAAATGCTTGAAATTTTAACATACTCTGTGTTCAGTAAGGTCTTTGGTGGGATTCATTTTAAAGAAATCTAATGTCAACTTACTGTTTGTATATGCAAATATCCATACCCTAAATTTCCATTGCAGTTTTCTCAGTAAATACTCAGTCTAAATGCTTGAAATCTTACCAGCCTCTTTCTTTAGGGGTGTCATTCATGACAGCATATATATATTCACATCATAGTTGGGGGTATTACTTGTAATCATTGGATTACATACTTCTTGTTAAGATACTACAGTAAAACCTGTCTAATCCGACATGCACTGGGAGACAAATTTTGTGTCGGAATAGACAGGGTGTTGGATTGCACAGTGTTAAACAACAACGAAAATACTAAAATGGGAAAGAAATTTAACGTCGGAATTCACAGTGTGTCGGATTATTCAGGTGTCGTATTAGACAGTTTTCACTGTAATATATGTACGGTACTTAGGTGACTTACTCAACTCAAGGGTTTTTTCCAGCATTGAAACTCAAAGATACATATACATGTAATTAAATTCATTCCTTTTAAATTTCAAAAGTAAAATATCTGGTGCATTTTTTATTGGATTGGACAAAAAATGAGTACAAATTCTGTTAGATTTTTAAATTTGGATAGAAAAACTACATGTAAATGAATTAAGTGTATATTTTAAGCAATGATAGTTTTATTTTCTATGAAGATATCCATAAGGTGGCTGAGGAGATAGCTAGAGTGACCCACACTGACCTACATAAGATGAGACTGACCCTAATCAATCAATGGCTTCCTTCCTCCTCCTCAAAACTAGCTGACGGAGAGTCCGTAAGTAAAGTGTAGGGAAGTCCTCCGCAGTATGATAATCAAACTAATATAACATAAAAATCCAAATAACTGACGGGACTCTGTAAATAAAGCTTCCTCAATATTATCACATTACAATATAAAAATCTAAATAGCTGATGGAGAGTCTGTAATTAAATTTCAAGCAAACCTTCTAAAGTATATAAACAATAACATGAAAAAATAACTGTCGGGGAGTCAGTAAGTGATAATGATCAGGGAAACCCTCTCCTAGAAGTTCAAATATTTTGTAATTCCAAATTCTGAATACATCCTTTCAAGATTTTTCCTCTTCTCTTTAAAATGGTATTTTTATAAATATTTTAATATTTCGCTATAAAATTATCTGAAAAAGTGATACTTTCTTAAAAAATTAAAATTCGTATTGGAAACATAATTGTTGATGGTAACTTTTACAGACTGTGACATTTAACTTTGAGAGTCTGAAGTTGGCAGAACAAAGCATGATGAATGATGCAGAAGATGAAATCATCAACTTAAAACGGTGAGAAACTAGTATAACTTATGTCCATGAAATGAAGCATGTTCATTTGGTAATACCATGTCTGGTGAGCTGGGATAGGATCTTTAAGTGCTTAAAACTGAAGTTTTGACTTTTTCCTTTAAACAGAGTTCTGTATCTTCTTCAGCAAGGATCAGCTGAGGAGAATGTTACGTTTCTCCTTAACTTTGTATTTGAGGTGAGTTTACTTGAGTAGTTTTGATGGTACTTCATTTATAAAGCAATGATTTGTTGTATTTTATTAATTAAGTGGTGATTCTTCACCAAAATTAAGATTTTTTGTTCAACTTTGCTTGACTTTTAAAGAAGCAATACAGTAATAAAGTCATTTTGTAGATGACTTTTTATACCCCCCGCAAACGAAGTTTGGGGGGGTATATAGGAATCACCTTGTCCGTCTGATCGCACGTCTGTCTGTCTGTGCAATCGTGTCCGGTCCATATCTTTCTAACAGAGGGACATTAGAATCTACTACTCCACAAAAAGATTGCCCATGACCTAAGGGTGTGTCATGACCTTGACCCAAGGTCATTTGGGGAACTTCAAGGTCACTGGAAGAAAAATTTAATAATTCGTGTCCGGTCCATATCTTTCTTATAGATAAACTTGGTAGGTTCTCATTTCACACAAAGATTGCCCATGGCCCAAGGGTGTGTCTTGACCTTGACCCAAATTCATTTGGGGAAGTTCAAGGTCACTGGAAGAAAAATTTCATAATTCGTGTCCGGTCCTTATCTTTCTTATGGATAAACTTGGTAGGTTCTCATTTCACACAAAGATGGCTCAAGGGTGGGTCATGACCTTGACCGAAGGTCATTTGGGGAAGTTCAAGGTCACTAGAAGAATATTTTCATAATTCGTGTCCAGTCCATATCTTTCTTATGGATAAACTTGGTAGGCTCTCATTTCACACAAAGATTGCCCATGGCCCAAGGGTGGGTTATGACCTTGACCGAAGGTCATTTGGGGAAGTTCAAGGTCACTGGAAGAAAAATTTCATAATTCTTGTCCGGTCCATGTCTTTCTTATGGATAAACTTGGTAGGTTCTTCTTTCACACAAAGATGGCCCAAGGGTGTGTCATGACCTTGACCCAAGGTCATTTGGAGAAGTTCAAGGTCACTGGAAGAAAAATTTCATAATTCTTGTCTGGTCCATATCTTTCTTATGGATAAACTTGGTAGGCTCTCATTTCACATAAAGATTGCCCATGGCCCAAGGGTGTGTCATGACCTTGACCCAAGGTCATTTGGGGAAGTTCAAGGTCACTGGAAGAAAAATTTCATAATTCGTGTCCTGTCCATATCTTTCTTATGGATAAACTTGGTAGGTTTTCATTTCACTCAAAGATTGCCCATGACCAAAGGGTGTGTCATGACCTTGACCCAAGGTCATTTGGGGAACTTCAAGGTCACTGGAATAAAAATTTCATAATTCATGTTTCATACATATCTTTATTAAGGAAAAACTTACTTCTGAAAAACCCAGCGGGGGGTATTTTGTCCCGTTTGGACAGTTCTAGTTTTTATTAGCTCACCTGAGCCGAAGGCTCAAGTGAGTTTTTCTGATCAAAATTTGTCCGTTGTCTGTCGTCGGCGTTGGCGTTGTCGTAAACTTTTCACATATCCATCTTCTTCTCAAGAACCACTGGGCCAATTTCAACCAAACTTGCTACAAATAATCCTTGGGTAAAAGGGATTCAAGTTTGTTCAAATGAAGGGCCATGCCCTTTTCCAAGGGGAGATAATTATGAATTTGAGAAAAATTAATGCCATTTTTAAAAAATCTTCTTCTCAAGAATGACTGGACGAGGAAAGATGAAACTCATGTGGAATCATTCTCAGATGGTGTAGAGATTCAAGTTTGTTCAAATCATGATCCCCGGGGGTAGGGTGGGGCCAAAATGGCCGACCCAAGTTTTACATAGGAATATATAGGAAAAATCTTTAAAAATCTTCTTCTCAAGAACCACTGGGCCAGGAAAGATGAAACTCATGTGGAATCATCCTCAGGTAGTGTAGATTCAAGTTTGTTCAAATCATGACCCCCGGGGGTAGGGTGGGGCCAAAATGGCCGATCAAAGTTTCACATCGGAATATATAGGAAAAATCTTTAAAAATCTTCTTCTCAAGAACCACTGGGCCAGGAAAGATGAATCTCATGTGGAATCATCCTCAGGTAATGTAGATTCAAGTTTGTTCAAATCATGACCCCCGGGGGTAGGGTGGGGCCAAAATGGCCGATCAAAGTTTCACATCGGAATATATAGGAAGAATCTTTAAAAATCTTCTTCTCAAGAACCATTGAGACAGGAAAGATGAAACTCATGTGGAATCATCCTCAGGTACATGTATTGTAGATTCAAATTTGTTCAAATCATGATCCCCGGTGGTAGGGTGTGGCCAAAATGGCCAGTCAAAGTTTTACATAGGAATATATAGGAAAAATCTTTAAAATCTTCTTCTCAAGAACCATTGAGCCAGGATAGATGTAACTCATGTCGAATCATCCTCAGGTAGTTTAGTTTCAAATTTGTTCAAATCAGGACCCCTGGGGTAGGGTGGGGCCAAAATGGCCGATCAAAGTTTTACAAAGGAATATATAGGAAAAATCTTAAAAATCTTCTTCTCAAGAATCACTGAGCCAGGAAAGATGAAACTCATGTGGAATCATCCTCAGGTAGTGTAGATTCAAGTTTGTTCAAATCATGACCCCCAGGGGGAGGGTTGGGCCAAAATGGCCGATCAAAGTTTTACATAGGAATATATAGGAAAAATCTTCTTCTGAAGAACCATTGTGACAGGAAAGATGAAACTCTTGTGGAATCATCTCCAGGTAGTGTAGATTCAAGTTTCTTGAAATCATGACCCCCGGGGAAAGGGTTAGGCCAAATGGCCGATAAAAGTTTTAAATAGGAATATATAGGGAAACCTTTTAAAATCTTCTTTTCAAGTACTTCAAAGCCATGCTTAGTGATATTCATAGGGAATCATCCTCAGGTATTGTAGATTCTAGTTTGTTCAAATCATGACCCCCTGGGGGGTAAAATTCAAGCCCCCTCCCTCCCCCCCTCCCCGCCCTCAGTAAACTTTCAGTTCTGATCTGATATGTGCTTTTTTTCTAGCCAATTCCTCAGGTGAGCGATGTGGCCCCTGGGCCTCTTGTTCTACATGTAGTGTACAGGTAGGACTTTATTTAGGCAAAATTATATTCCATAAAATTCTATCCAAATCTCTTTCTGGGATTTTGAAGTCAGGCATTTTATATAAGCGTAATCTTATTTGTATCCTTTATCCTAGAATCAGAATACAGGAGAAATGACTTCAGTTACCAACATGTGTAAGATGCGAGCCTTACATTGCTTGCTGGAATTACGTCAAGACGAGATTGTTCAGAAAATGTGCGGTCGTAGTATTGAGGACCTTAGGTAAACAAATTCATAACTTGTTTTATGAAGAATTTAACTTTGACTGTGAATGCTAAATGGATCTTTACTTTTGGAAAACTTGTATGTAGAGTGTATTGGCTTTATTTTGTACGCTTTATTGTTTTTCTTTTCAAGTTATTTTCTCTAAATACATGTATCTCCATATTGTTTATCCAGGACCCTGCTGAAGACGACCAGTTACCTGATAGCCCTGGAGAAGCTCCACATACTGCACTCGGTGGAGACGTTTGAATCCTCCAACAAGGAGGGGCTGATCAAGGGAATCTGGAGAAACCACAGTCATCAGAAGTCTGTAAGTCATTAACCACAGTCACCAGAAATCTGTAAGTCATTAATCACAGTCACCAGAAATCTGTAAGTCATTAATCACAGTCACCAGAAATCTGTAAGTCATTAATCACAGTCACCAGAAATCTGTAAGTCATTAATCACAGTCATCAGAAATCTGTAAGTCATTAACCACAGTCATCAGAAATCTGTAAGTCATTAATCACAGTCATCAGAAATCTGTAAGTCATTAATCACAGTCACCAGAAATCTGTAAGTTATTAACCACAGTCACCAGAAATCTGTAAGTCATTAACCACAGTCTTCAGAAATCTGTAAGTCATTAACCACAGTCACCAGAAATCTGTAAATCATTAACCACAGTCACCAGAAATCTATAAGTCACTGATCAAAGATAGAACCACAGTCATCAGAAATCTGTAAGTCACTGATCAAAGATAGAACCACAGTCATCAGAAATATGTAAGTCACTGATCAAAGATAGAACCACAGTCATCAGAAGTATGTAAGTCACTGATCAAAGATAGAACCACAGTCATCAGAAATCTGTAAGTCATAAAATCTGTAAGTCAATGATCAAAGATAGATCCACAGTCATCAGAAATCTGTAAGTCATAAAATCTGTAAGTCACTGATCAAAGATAGATCCACAGTCATCAGAAATCTGTAAGTCATAAAATCTGTAAGTCACTGATCAAAGATAGAACCACAGTCATCAGAAATCTGTAAGTCACTGATCAAAGATAGAACCACAGTCATCAGAAATCTGTAAGTCACTGATCAAAGATAGAATCACAGTCATCAAAAATCTGTAAGTCATTGTAGTTGGAGGTAGGGAGGGTGTTTAATAGGCTTCAACAGTTTTATTGCCAATTTTTTCATAGGTGCCAGAAATATTAGTAGACCTTTCTAGATAAGATAAATACAAAGTGCTTATTCACAATAGTCCAGCATTTATTGCAGATTGATATCTGAACTCTCTTCATAATCATGCTAATATTCTTAATTTATTCAAGAAAAAGTAAGTATTAAAATAAGAAATGTGGATCTTACTTGATCTACATTTTGAATTCATTCATTGAGATGAATTTCTGATTTTCGTAACGTACATTTATCATAGGCATTGTCAAACCATGAGTTGACAGACTTTAATCCACAGAGGATTTTTTTATTCTATAAAATTGATAACTTTTACAACTAAGAAGTGAAATATCATTTCTGCATTATTTATCATTTTCAGGCCTGTATGCTGGTAGCTGCCCTGTGTCTGGACTACAAAGTTTATGATGTTCAGATCTGGAATGGAGTATTACAACAGCTTGTTCACTTTGGTTTGGTATTCATTTTACATCAAATCAGTGTACATGTACATATGAAAATTCAAATCAAAATATACATGTATATTTCATAAAATAAACTCTAGAGTTTCAGGTAGTTTTAATGTGGAACCACTAAGTTTTATATTGTGTTTAAGTAATCAAACAATTTCTTTTTCAGATGGATCAGCTAGAGTATGTGTTGGGACGACTGAATGCAGCACCAGAAGTCTGGCAAACTCCTATGTTCTCAAGAGCTTGGCAAACAATGGTCGTCACACCACTTACAAAAGGTTAAATGCTAATATATCATAATATAAACAGGTATAAAAATTTGAGAGTGATTTGTTCAATTCAGTAAAAACATTTATTCTGTGAGAGACTTTAGTTACTGCATGTACTTATACTTACCAGGTAACTGTCTTAATAATGGATTTTGCCACAGAAATATAAACTATGGGTACGTGACACAAGGAATGATTGTCTTTGAATTGGATTTACATACATGTGTTGATTATTTTCAGTGGTTGCCCCATTAACAGAGGAGCAATTAGACACTTGTGTTCACATCTTCAATTTGATAATCAGGTAATCTTTTTTTTTTTCGAAAAATACCATATACAGGGTGTATATCACAGATATGTGACATATATTGTGAAACACCCTGTACATGTACTGTACACGTACTCTGTGTATGACAAATAGCATGTTATTATGAGTATACTCCTTTCCAACAGGTGCCCTGTGCTGAGTGACACTAACATTATATCTGTGGTGAGACAGCAGTACCTGAAGCTAGAGCTCCCTCTGTGTGCATTGGCTAGTGTGTTAATGTCAGACAACTCTCTACAGGAACGGCAGGTAACCGAAGTAAAGAGTTCAGTCAAGGTTTTAAAAATTAAAACAGAATGAAAAATTATATACTGTAAAAATAACAAATTAACCTGAAATAATGTTGGTAAATTTGACCTCAATATTTTAGGAGATTTTAAATCGGCACAGACTGGGTTTACTGAAAGACTGTGATAGACTGATGAAACATGGAATGATGGCTGTAGAAATCAAAAAGGTAGAGCTAAATATCTTACATTTATCTGAAGTGTTTAATGATTAACTGACAATTTTTTTTTTGTTTAATGACGGTGATATCGATTTATCTTGCGTGATAAAATTATCAAGCAAATTGATTTATCATCATCATGAAACCAAAAAATCTGACAGTTAATAATCCTTTTATTTTTCTGTCAGCAAATCCACGCGCTCTAAGCTTCACTTCTATTTCCATTTTTCCCGCCCCGCATGACATTTTAACCATGCTTATCGATGAACCAGTGCATTTATGTTTTATTAAAATACTTTTGTAATTTTATCTTGGACAAAGACATTGGAAATGTAAATCATGGCATCAATGTATTCCACTGACTCAGTCTTGCCTACAGTAAAGAGTTTCTTTTTAGGTGGAGGAAGCAGTATTTCTCTACCTCCTTGACACAGAAGATTTCCAAGAAATCTCCGAATCCCCATTATCCAAGTCCTTCTTTAAGTTTGCTGTAGAACATAACAACATAGATGGTATTCTTCAGTTTGCAGTCAGGCATCAAAAGTGAGTGGAAAATGTATTTGTTATGATCATTTGATGCATGTATTTAATCAAGAGACGTACATTAAAGTATGTGATTTATGCACAATGCTGAATTTCTCAAGACACATGACCTACTCAATCTCTGACAGCATTACCAATACATATAGATAAAATCTGGCATCTCAGAATTGGTAACTGGTTCAATTTTCATTATTTAAAAATTCTTTTAAAAGTTTAAAAATATTCAAGTTATATGAATGAACATTTAGTTCATTTAGATATAATGTTGATTTCTGATAGGGGGTTCAGGTATAAATTTTTGATGAGATATATTTGAATTTATTTATCCAAACACAACAGAATATAATTAAGAGTTCCAAAAATTTTATTAACAATACTATTTAATATTTTACAAATTTGCCTTGAGGGCTCATGCAGCTTATACAAGAGAGATTAAGTCAATCTCCCAGCATTAGAACCAGGTACTAGTTACATAACTGTAGTTGTTTACTCTGACAGTCCGATGACCATCTTCCTAAAGTTTTAATAAGATGGTCTTCTATCCTAGCTGATGCAGCAGATGTTGCTGCACCGATACGAAATGAGTGACCACTGTATTTCTCTGAATCAAAACCTAGAACTTTTAAGATATACTGCAAGTGTTCAATAAAGTATGATCTTGTTACAGGTAGATTATCTTCTGTAACGAAAAGAGCTTCTTTAGGTCCAGCAAAGCAGAATTTTCTCACCTGCATGTATTTACACATAGATTTTACTGGGCATACCTTTGTGTCATTTGAGTATAATACAATACTTGAACCCTTGTGAAAATGATCTGTTTTAGAAGTCTTCAAAAATATCTTAACGCAATCTTCGTGAATTTGAACATCTTCACAGCATAAATGACAGCATGGATCAAATTTCTGTTGTATTGTCAGTTCACCACAACGGAAAAATCCGAAAAAAGCTGTTACATACATAGCTTCTAACAAAACATTGGTATAATATTTAAACATGCAATTCCTCAAAACTGTACAAATTCTTTGCAGTATGTGAGCTGTAATAGGCAATCTGACCCTATTTTTAAATTGATCTTTACTTTGCACTTTTCTAATTGCATTTAAAATTAACTTCAATCGTTCCATTGAGTGACATTTAGACTGAAAAGGGTTTGGAATTCCCATTTCTAAAAACATGTATCTGATTCCACACAAATATAATCTTATTGTAGAAAATTTAAGCAACAAGTTATGTTGGCAATATGCAACAAAATGTACAAGTATATCTTCATATATAGGTGGACATTTAACATCATAAAAAACACCATGTATTGTAAGAAAATGTTTATATGTCTCAAAACCTTGTTTGTAAGTTAATCTTGTTCTTTCTGTCACGGAATTGTTCATCAGTTTTTGAACCACTTGTCCGAGTTCCAAATTACTTCTGATACCGGTGGGCAGACCATCGGATTCTTCTCTGCTTGAGGAGCCGCCTGCCTGAACTTCTCCAGCTGTAAGCGAGACAAAGAGTCAGCTATAATGTTTTTAATTCCTGATACATGTTCGCTATAAATGTCAAAGTTATAAATAGCAGCACAAAAGCATAGAGTTCTCATCAAAGATGATGTTTGTAGATCTGAGGATCGACGTTTCCGGATAATATCTACAACTGCAGCATTATCACAATGGAAAAGAATCCTTTTCCCTTTCCAGTCCTTCCCCCAAATAATAGCTGCAACGACAATAGGATATAATTCGAGAAAAGCCATGGACGGAGATTGTTTATGAGTATTAAGTTCCTTTGGCCACTTTTCTGCAAACCATTTTCCTCTGTAATATCCCCCGAATCCTACTGTAGATGAGGCATCGGTATACAATTCCATGTCTGCGTTACTTATCAGCTTGGATTCATAAAACACTGATACACCATTCCAATGCTTTAAAAAATGTAACCACATCTGTAGGTCTTCCTTGCTAGCTTGTGTAAACTTAACGTAATAATGAAGTTTCTCTACCTTTGTAGACAATTGGATAAGATAAGAAGTGAAAGCTCTCCCAGGTAACACAACTCTCGCTGCAAAGTTAAAGTGTCCTAGTAACTGCAGTAATTGTCTCTTCGTCACTGAAGATTGTTTCAGGAAATCCATTATGAAATTACATATCCGTGTGATTTTTTCCTGGGGTAAGCGTGCTTCCATTTTTTCACTATCAAGGATGATTCCTAAGTATTCCAGTTCCGTTGTAGGACCCACTGTTTTCTTCAATGATAATGGTATGTTGAGTCTTTTAAATAAAGTGCACAACAAAGCCATGGTCCTTTCTCCAATCACGTCAGGTTTGTCAATGGTAAGAAAATCATCTAACAAATGAAAAATATTTTCGATTCCATAATTGTTTTTTGCAATCCAGCAAATGGCTTGTGATAAATGATCAAATATTTTCGGTGAACTTCTACTTCCAAATGGTAATCTAACGAAGTAGTAGAACAGATTTTTCCATTTCACACACAACATAGGCCAAAATCTTGGAGCAACTGGTATCAGCTTAAATGCATCACATATGTCTGTTTTGCACATGATAGCACCTTTTCCCAATTCTTTAATTCTTGTTATTGCATCATCTATTCTAACATATTTCAAGGAGCATTTTTCTTTGTCAATCAAATTATTTACACTGTCAACTTCTTCATTATCATGTGGTGAAGATAAATCCAAAATAAGGTGTTTTTTCCCGGAGTATTTACCCGTAGCCAATCCTAATGGACTTACTCTGTATTTTGAAAAATCGAGTGTTTGGAACGGTCCTTTCACAAATCCTTTCTGAACTTCTGTTTTTAAAAGTTCATCAACTGTATCTGGGTTTTCCCTAGCTGACTGTAAATTCCTACACTCATATGAATTATCAAGGCTTGTACTATCACCCATAAAAATATCAAATCCATTACGTAGTCCACCAATTAAATAATCAACAAATTCTCTGTCTGGGTGATTACATAATTCAAACTCTAGTCTTTCTATATTAACTGGTGTAGTGGCTTTAAATTCATCCCTTTCTTGTTTTTCTAGTCACTGTGGAGTTTTTTGTTTCTTTGTTTTATCATCTAGCATCAAATTTGTGGTCGTGGTCTTCTCGGCGTTTAAATTCGGACACTTTAGTTTTCCGTGAGAAGTAGACGTGCATTGAGCACATACATGTGTTCTTCTGCAGTATGGTACGGTACATCTGTTTGAATTGTAGTTGTTGCAAATTTGCCTACCTTCATGAAAGGCTATATTCCTATCATACTTGTCCTTTCTTTGATAGCTCTGGTAACTTCGTTGATGTTTGTTGTCATCTGAATTTTCAACGCACATACTAGATGTATGGGTGGTCGAGGAGCAAATATTACACTTGCTGACTTCAGCACCTGCTACTACACGCTTCAATATTTCATCGTCTCCTTTGCTCCAGTTTATTAGAACATTGTTCTGTTTTAGGGCAATGGCACATTTGGCAGCAAACAATTTGTGATACTCAAAAAATTTTGTTGGCCAAACATTGTGTACCTCTATAATATGTGCCAAGTACATGTCCAGTTCCTCTTGTCTCCAAGGGTATGTGGCACACATTATCCGTTTGTATCTACTGAAAGCAGTGACAAACTCGCTCATGTTTAAATTTCTATTTAGTCTTTTATCAGTTTTCTCCTGTTCCTTTTTGGGAGTCTCATAAGCTGGTATCAGGAGCGTGCACATATTTACATCTTCACCTCGTAGTATTTTTTTCCGGATATCGGCGGAGACCAGATCCACATGGCCTACATCTTTCGATGGGACCCCTATGCTTGAGTGCTCACTAATATTAACTGAATTTATCGTACCTGAAGCTGAATCCGTGTGAACTTGAGCAGCATATTTCTTAAGAGGGTTATCGTCCTCCTTCTCTGCGTCTTTCTTGTTCTCTTTCGCTAATAACGTATTAACCGTCTGTTGCAAAGCTGCGCATGATTGAGCCATACTTTGCAAAGTCTGTAGTAGAACACCATCGTTATTTGTATTCGTAACTGTACTTTCGCCCAATGATTGTAGGGGGACGCCATTGTTTGTTGCGTCACTTCCGCCCAATGATCCTTCATGCGAGTTTTCGCGCCGTTCTGTTACATCACCTTTGTTTATGTTTTCATTGTAAAGCTGTCGCAAAGTTGAGGCATTGAATCCCTTCGGAACTTGAATTCCTAATTGAGTCAGTCTTTCCCTTAATTGGGCAACAGTCCAATTCAAGGGATTGTCCATGTCAAGAAGTGTAGCACTGCTTTCTACGGCAGAAGTTGAAACCACCTGAACAGGCCTTTGCCTTGTCGCATTTCTCCTTGCAGCCCTCGGCATACTGAACTATTCACAAATTCGAATTTACTTAATATCACCGTGTTGCTATCTTAAAATGCAGACAATCCAGTATTTAAAACTATGAATTTATTAATAAGTCAACACACATCGATAGGTACACAGGTTTCATATTGCACATGTCTAATTATTAGTAGATAGAAATATCCAAACATAAAATGCGTCAAAGTAAATCCGAAAGCAAATGTTCCTGAATTAGTCACATTTATCACATAGTCCAAACAGTAATAATAAAGAAGGATTAGTATAATTACTGAACTGGAAAAATATAAACATCAACACTGCAGGCACGCTAACTTCAGCTAATAGAGAAATCCTATTGGTTAATTTTATCACGTGGTTTACACGAGGTACAAAAGGGACACTGTTTTATGCATAATAATGATATTGTATTTGGAAAATAAACAATGATTATATACATAATCAAAATTAAATATATTCTAGCACCAACACGGAAACATTAAGAAATATAAAAAACTTTACTTGGTGAAAAAATTCCAAGTAGAACAGAAGTTATGAAATTATCAATGTAGTGAGTACTGCTGTTTTATGTAAGAAAATTTAACTATTAAAGAGTACCTATTGATGGCACATAAAAGGAAGAAAAATCTGTTATATCTAGGTAGTTTTTTAGCTCACCTCAACAAAGTTGGGGGAGCTTATGTAATACCCTCGGTGTCGGTGTCGGCGTCCCAGGTTAAGGTTAAGTTTTTTGGAGCAGTTTTCTTTTTAAGTACTTCTATGTCCTATATTGATTAGACATGTACGGAAGATGCTTCCAGTGTGTTTCATTGTACCAGTCAAAGTTTCAGATGCTGCAATTTCAGCAAAGGAATGACCAGGTTAATGTTTTTGGAGCAGGTTAACATTTTTGGTGCAGTTTTTGGTGTACGTCTCATTTCCAAGGAACTATAAGACCTATGTTGACCAAACTTGCATAGATGATACATCTAAAGATGCACATTAACAGGCTTGCTTCGTATGCTGAATCTGACCTACATTTTCCGGTTGAGTGAACAGGTTAATGTTTTTGGTGCAGGTTTTATTTCCTAGTAACTATAAGCCATATGTTGACCAAACTTGCACGGATGATACATCTAAGGATGTACACTACCAGACTTGTTTCAGATGTTGAATCTGACCTACATTTTCCAGTTGAGTGAACAGGTTAATGTTTTTGATGCAGGTCTCATTTCCAAGTAACTATAAGTCCTATGTTGACCAAACTTGCATGGATGATACATCTAAGGATGCACATTACCAGGCTTGCTTCAGATACTGAATCTGACCTACATTTTCTGGTTGAGTGAACATGTTAATGTTTTTGGTGCAGGTCTCATTTCCAAGTAACTATAAGTCCTATGTTGACCAAACTTGCACGGATGATACATCTAAGGATGCACATTACCAGGCTTGCTTCAGATGCTGAATCTGACCTCTATTTTTCGGATGAGTGAACATGCAAAAAGTTTTTGGAGCAGGTTTCATTCCAGGTTACAATGAGCCTTATAATGACTAAACTTCTATGGATGATACATCTTAGGATGCATAGTACCAAACTTGCTTCAGATGTTTCTGGATGAGTGAAGAGGTTAAATTTTTATACAGGTTTCATTTCTAACAAACTATTAGCCCTATGTTGTGCAAACTCGCTTGGATGATACTAATGAATTTGCTCCGGATGCTGAATTTGACATACATTTTCCAGATAATAGACCAGGTAAAAGTTATGGGTGCAGGTCTATTACCATGATTACCAAGAAACTATAAGGGCTTATATAAACCAAACTTGCCCAATTGATGAATCAAGGGATGAGAACTCTCAAACTTGATTCAGATGCTGGATTTTAATCACATTTTCATGATGAAGAACTAGTTTGAAGTTCTTATATAGGTCTATTCCAAAGTATCAGATCAAAATTGCATAAATTTTGCATTTTTGGGTGTACACTTTTTGTTGGATAATTGTGTGATTTTGCCTTACTTAAAGACAACATTCGTTGAGGTGAGCTCTGTAATCTCTGATTACCTATGTTTAAGTAAAGAGTCTAATTTCGTTTGGAAGTATGGCAAACTATATATTTTCGGAAAGATCTATGCAAGGTCTAATTTTCTGTTTCCATGCCAGCTAAAAAATATCCAAGATGGCAGCAAAATATCCAATATGGCCGTCAAAAGTGAAAATGGCCGATACAGTCTTTTTGGTAAAATGCTTTCAAAATCTTGTAAGTTTGGAATAATAATGAAAGAAGTCGGTTCACTTTATGCATAAAATGGCCCTGTAGATATACCAATTAATTGATCAACATTTGATTTTCTATTTGAAGCATTAAAATAAAATAGAGACTTGGTGCTTTTATATCCTATGAAAAAAGTTCTTCTAGAAGTCTAGGTCTAGGAGAACTGGCTTTATGAAATTGCAGTGTTCTTGAATTGTTAGGTAAACAGGTATAATTGAGTACTTTCAGTGAAGAAAAATAATATGAGCGCACTCTCTGATCTAAAAAATAAAACATGTCCATTAATCCTCAGAAACAGTTCTATCATTTACTAGTTGCATATTTTAGATCAGAGGTTGCGCTCTATATTAAATATTAAAAAAATAGCTTTAAAAATTGGCCGTTTTTGTAGACTTTTTCAGAATATGAGGAAATTGACGCATTTCGTGACGTCATAATGCATTGACTAGCCAGAAAATGACGTCATTTTTGATAGATATGCAGTCACCAAAGATCTAAGTGATATTTAATGCAATGTTAACTAAAACAATGCAGTTTCAGTTTTTTAGAAATTCACAGGGCCAAATAAGGCAAAAGTGAACCTTGTTCTTTTATTAATTCTTTACAATTTATTACTTTTAAAAGATTTATAAAAATAGTTATCTAAATTAAATATGCTCACTAAAAGTCAGAGTTCTGTCTAGACATCACAAAGCAGATCAAGGCTGTCAATATTATGAAAATGGCAAAGATTGGGAAAAAAGAATTCACTACACTTAATTCACAACTTTATTTTAAATTTGTATAGATCTTTAAAATACATAATATCAAATTTTCGGTATCAATCAATAATTGTATATATTCAGTCTAAACTATCCATGCTTCCTGGACAAGTCGAGTGTTAAGTTTATCCCAGACATCTGCTACTACGGCGGGTACCATAATCATGATATGGAATGATTCTTGCATTTTCACGAAGTCTGACTGTGTATACCTGGTACTCACTGAAAAAAATAAATAACCACAAAGTACCATATGCATGTTCACAAAAAAAAAAAATTATAAATACATGTATTTTTATAGTTAGATTAATAAGACAATAAATAAACATTTTCTTTTATCACATTAGAAATTCGGGTTATTGCGTTATTATACAGTACATTTATATGTATGTCAGAATCTAGAGGAAATCCTGGCAACAAAATCAAATTTGTACCATTATAGGTCCCTGTTTAGGTGTATTAGGAAATGAGAATATTTTTCAATAAGTCGATCCTAATATTATTTAATGTCACATTCCCATTTTCTCTTGTGGTTGTACGAAACAAAAAATGTGCATGAATTTAAAGGTACATAGAAACTGTTCAAATTTTGCGTGGAGGGTGATGACTTTTGAATGGAATTATTTTCTGAAATTATTACAGACCCACAATATTCAGATAGGAAATTTTCTCAGCTTTCTAATAGTGTATGTTGCATAAAAATATTTTGAATACTTACTGTAGTAAAATTGACCTCTTTCCTTCGAAACGAAAATACATAAACTTCTGCAGATTGCATTGAAATGCAACATTAACCATGTTGATCTTCAAAATGTAAGCTTTCCTGTGATAGGTCCATGTCGTTAATTCCTTAAAAAATCTCCTCCCGGAAAGCCAATCAAAATGACGCTATCAACGTCGCGGAGACAAAATTACAGTGCCATGCATCAAAGGGGAAACCCCGTATCCAATTTTAGCACAACTTCGACCAGGTTAATTTTTAATGCAGACTTTTCAGAATGACCTAATACACACACCATACGAAAGTTCAAACAATGTAGAAAAAAATCATTATATTTAATTTCTAGATAAATATGAATAATTATGCAAAAATTACGTTTATAAACAACAATAAATTGTGTTTAAATGGCACGATAACATAGGTAAGTCGGGTTACCTGAACCCCCTATTTCTGAAAATAAAATTTGAGTCACCTGCTTGTTGTGTCATAGATAACTAGCTTTAATAAGCTTTGCAGATGCTGAGTTTTGAATGGAATTGTATTTTACTTTCAGAATAAAAGAAGCAGCCTCCTTGTTGGGCATGTTATGTTCCCGGAATGCTCTCCTGGCTAAAAGACTGGAATCTTACAGGAGCGATTCTATATTTATGCTTAAGGTAAAATAACTTTTATCAAGTAGAAAATATCTTATCAGAAGTAAAACATGAGTGATAGTGTATTTTAAAAGATTATATTTATAAGTGATATAGTTTGTATTGTTGAATTGCATTTAATCTTTAACCACAATATATAATAATGTTTTTTGTGTATTCCTTTATCAAGTTTTACTAAATTTTTTTCTAGAAATATTTGGAACTACAAGGTCATCAGGAGGTGAGCGAAATGATTTAGAAATTTTGGAAAATCATGAGGGAAAAAACTACAGCTTAAACCGATAATGGTGTGCATTACTGCAAAAATCTGCAATATAAACACATATTCTACATGAAAACGAGGGGAATATTTCTTTGCAAAATGTCCTTGGAATAAAAGTAGTGATACTACATGTATATTAGCAGATAAAATTTTTGTCAATGACAAAATGTGTTAAATTGAAATCTTGACATTAATATATTTGAATGTTATTTTTTAACACACTGTTGTGTCTAATGGGGTTTATAATCATTTAAATTATTCATTTATGCCATCATGCATATATTTATATTGACATTGAAAAGCGTATGGATAAAGCAATGAATCACTTGCTAATTATTCTCTTTTTTCCATGTATAACAAAGAATACAATGTACATGTGATTTACCTTTTTTTTTTAAATTAAATAATAATATATTCAATAACATTCAATAACAGTGAACAAGCAATGAATATAAATTCTCTCTCTCTCTCATTTTTTATTAAAATAATTTTATTCAATAACAATAATGCCCAAAAATCTCCCTCTTTTTTGTTTTCTAGCTTTTTTGCCCCAGAAATTATGAATGCCCTTACATAAAATTAAAACCTTTTTCCCAAAAAGGAGGTTTGGCTCAACAAATTAAACATTAGATAAAACTTATTTTATCAGAGATGATATCATCAGCTGTCAACAATCATTTGGTGAAATAAATTTTCATACATTTTTCTTTGGAGATTTGATCATTTTTGTATATACATGTATCTTTATATAAAGCTCTTCTTCTAAAGGAGGTAATTAAATTTTGAAAATGGCCACAACCACCCAGTCCTCTTATATGTTTTAATGCTACATATATCACATCACAGAACAAGCATTACTTTTATCAGGTAACGGAGACTTCACCATCTGAAATCTGTCCTCCCCATAGTCAACACTGAGTCTCATGGGGTGCCTCACACTGGCTGTGTCTTTTTTGACCCTGCTATTGTCTTGTCCCCCTTCTGACCTCCTTAAGGAGTGTCTGAATGAGTTACCTCCCTTTTGTGATGCAGATCGACTCAGAGAGAGGTCGCTGGACGTACTGTCCGAGTGTCTACTGACACGACTGTCTGGTCGTTTGCTGGGAGAGGAATTAACACTGTCAGACAAAGCCATACTGTCACTCCTAAAGGTCGCCTTTCTGTCTTCGATGGCCAAAACCAAACGAGATTCCAAATTCTTTATCTTTTTGTCTTTCTGTTCCAACTGTTCATGAAGGGACTTCACCTTTGAAATAATCAATTAAATTTTCAAGAAATAAAGACACCCCATAGACTAAACAGAACTGGAAAGTTTTAAAATTAGCTTGCAAATATAGAAATGGCTCTTTCAGAATTACAAGTTTTTTTTTCAGAAACGAGCTCGATAATGAGGGTCATTCAGAAGATTTGCTGGCTCTTCCATTATTTACTCTTACAGATGTCAAATAGTTTGTTCTTTAAGTAGAAATTATTTGTGACTTCTTGCTTGTTTATATCATCAAATATTTTTTCTTTGAATGGCCTTATTATAAATCACCAGACCTGTTCGTCTAGCTTGTTGATAAGTATCTCCTTGGCTGTACTGTTAGAGGAAGCTGCAGCCAGCTCAGCTCGGTACTTCTGTACTGTAGATTCCAAAACTGTCTGTTTCTCCAGTATTCCACGCTTAGCTATCTCCCTGAAACAAATGACATTCAAATAATTCTACATACATTGTATAACTATCTTAGACTGTTATGTATCAATATTATTTTATATTAGATAAGTGTCTTTGGAAGCTTAAACTGTGACAAGTGAACATGCTCATTAAATGGAAAGGACAAGATAGGCTAAGACCCCTTTTTGGCCCCTGGTTTGGGGTCTCTTTTTGAAATCAAGTTTATCAATTGAGTTTATTCTTGCGTTTAAAATTCTCAGGTAGGCAAGCTTGTGCTCTAAGTTTCACAAAGTGAAATGTGTCTCAAATTTTAGGAAACTCAATCAGAATTGAGGAAATTTGAGAAAATGTCCTACTTCTGCACGCTCTCATGGCCTCTGTGTAAGCTTTGAATCAAAGTTAGTGCTGGTTTTAATACAAGTGTCACCTTATGTTCTTAACTACAAACTTTCACAATTTTATGTTCTGATTTCTGATATGTTCTGACATCAAATAAGGGGCCAGATTCGGCAGTTACCATACCTTGTCCTTTTCTAAATCAATTACTTTGATAATGACTGAATAGGTGCAGAAACTACATTTCAAGTTTTCATTACTGTAACAAAATGCTATAAACAAGATGTTTGAAAATGTTTTCACAAGCATCCATTTCCTCAACCAAAAAATATTTTGAAATTAAACCATCAAACCATATTTACCATGCTTAAACAGTGATACATTCAAGAACCTAAGTTCATATTGTGCAAGGGCTAAATGATATATGACGAAAAATATACTAAAAAGTTACTTACAGCTTAAAACATTTTTGGCTAAAGTATGAAGTATGAATAATTACTTTTAAAGTAATTGCAGTTAGACAGAATATTGATCAAATCACAGACACCAAACTTCCTTTTAAGAAATTGCCCCACTCCCACCCCTCGTACCCCAGCTTGTACTAGCAGGTCAAAAATTATTTAAGCATGTTTGATGCCTGTGGATAAGATTAGCACAATTTTACATAATCTATTAATAGTAAATCCATGGGAATTGCAGAGTCTGAATTGATGCATTACATAATATGTGATTCAGAATCAAATACCCAGAGCAGTATAATTAGCAGAGTTGATGTATTTCATACCGTAATACTAGTAAGTTAATCAGAGATATGTAGAGTGTTATAATTAGGAGTAACATACCAGTGTCTGCGTGCTGTGGATGAAGGGTCTGATTTCTCCTGGGCCTCCTCCAGTCTCTCTTTATTGTTCTCCAACTCCTCCTTCTGTTGCTCAAGGTCCTGTTTGTATTCAATCAAAACATCGCTTGAATATTATGTGATTTGTTTTTTTTTCTTTTACAAAATACAGAGTTGAACTTAATTAAAATTATTAAAAAGATGAGATTTGCTTTGGAAACTGTTTCTAGAGAAAAAATGCTGAATAAGTCATTAGAAAGAAAGAGAATTGTATTTTCCTGTGGCGATTTCTGTTGTTATTGGCAGTGATGTTGCCACAGTGAGAGGCTAGAGATTTACATGTCAATTTTAATTCTTTATCCTTTTCTATTCCTGTATGTTTTGTCCTACCTCCTTAAGATCCTTTGTAAACGCTGTTGTCTTACCTTTTTAAAAATGTTGTAAACTCTTTTATCTTAACTTCTTTAGATCCTGTAAACTTTGTTGGCTTACTGGCTAATAGTTCCGTTAAGCTGAATTGTCTTACAATCTCTAGATCCTGTAAACTTTGTTGTTTTACTTCCTCTATAGATACTGTAAGCTAAATTGTCTTTTTCAAGATCCTGTAAACTCTATTTTGTTTTACACTACAGACCTTGTAAAATATCTTGTTTCCTTTAGATACTGTAAACTCTTGTTAACCACACTTTTGTCCTGTAAACTCTGTTGGCCTACTTCCTGTAGATATTTAAACTCTTTTGTGTTTACCTCCGTTATATTTTGTGAGTTCTTTTATTTCACCTCATCAATATCTTTTAAATGCTGTTGTATACTCCCTCTAGATCCTGTGTACTCGGTTACTGTACCTTATGGGAGCTAAAACTATTTTGTTCCCCCTTCTCTACTGGATCCTGTAAGCTCTTTCGTCTTGCCTTCTGTAGAGCCTGTTAACTCAGTTGTTGTACATCTTATTGATCATGTAAAGTGTGTTGTCTCTCCTCTTCTAGATCCTGTAAACTTTGTTGTCTCACCTTTCTATACCCTGTAAACTCTGTTGTCTTACCTTTCTATACCCTGTAAACTCTGTTGTCTTACATTTCTATACCCTGTAAACTCTGTTGTTATACTTCCTCTAGATCCTGTAAACTCTGTTGTGTTACCTTTTTTAAATCTTGTAAACTCTACTGTCTTACATCCTGTAGATCCTGTGAACTCTGTTGCCTTACCCCCTCTAGATCCTATAAACCCTGTTGTTTTACCATTGCTGTATCCTTTAAAATCTATTGTCCCACTTCTTGGAGATCTGTACTATTTGTTGTCTTACCTACTCTAGATCCTGTAAACTCTGTAATCTTATCCCCTTAAGGTCCCGTAAACTCTGTTGTCTTACCTCCTCAAGATCCTGTAAACCCTGTTGTCTTACATATACCTCTAGATCCTGTAAACTCTGTTGTCCTACCTCCTCTAGATCCTGTAAACTCTGTTGTCTAACCACCTCAAGATCCTGTAAACTGTTGTCTTACCTCCTCTAGATCCTGTAAACTCTGTTGTCTAACCACCTCAAGATCCTGTAAACTCTGTTGTCTTACCACCTCTAGATCCTATAAACACTGCTGTCTCACCTCCTCAACATTCTGTAAACTCTGTTGTCTTACATGTACCACCTCTAGATTCTGTAAACTCTGTAATCTTATATCCTGAAGGTATTGTAAACTCTGTTGTCTTACCTCCTCGAGATCCTGTAAACTCTGTTGTCGCTTCACACATCGTGCTTGTCGTCTATCTAGAACAGACTCCAACTCTTCTATCTAAAAGTAAGATTTTCTACTTGGTGTCTTATCTTCAGGATTTTTAGCTCTTTTGAGCCAAAGGCTCAAAGAGCTAATGCTATGGCCATTTGTGCGGTGTGCGTAAACTTTTTAGAATATGGGCCATAACTCAAAAAGCCCTTGGCCAATCAGTACCAAATTTGTCACAGGGTATCCTTGGCCCAAGAGCTACCATTTATATTAAAATAAGGGTTGGGACCCTTAAACAAGGGGAGATAATCAGGAAAACACAACCAAAAGTACTGGTTGCTAAAAAATCTTCTTCTCCATAACCACCAGGCAGATTTTCACCAAACTTACATACAAGGATCAGGATATGTCGAAGATTAAAATTTGCACAGGGAATTACCCTGGGGCGAAGGGCGTGGTCTCAAGGTCACTTCAAAGTTGACCTAAATTTACAATTAATAAAAATATCATATAGTATATTTTGCTTACTATAAGGACTAGGATCATCAAATCTTGTAAGTTGATGCATCTTACGATTTCACATCATGTTAACTCAAAAGTAGGTCAGGGTGACCTCTTTTTAAATTTTGCTAGGATTTGTTTTCAAATTGATTTGAAGGCATATTTTGGACAAT